TCCTCTCATGGAGGTTGTTCTACTGTATTGGTGATGAAAACTGTCCTTTGTAGAGAGGTGTCTTCTAGCAGGAGTGTCCTCTCATGGAGGTTGTTCTACTGTATTGGTGATGGAAACTGTCCTTTGTAGAGAGGTGTCCTCTAGCAGGAGTGTCCTCTCATGGAGGTTGTTCTACTGTAACCCTTTTATGTTCACCCACATTGTTTATAGGAAAAATTTCACCACTGTTTTGACAGTGCTGCAGTTTTTTTTTGTAGAAGCACATCGCTACCTATTAACCTGTGAACTACACTCATGGACAAAACTTAAAGAAGTTGTACCTTTTACCATGTATGATAAAGCACAATTTGGATTATAGATTATAAGACAAGAAAATAAGACCTAATCCAAATAATTTATTAGTGTGTGACGTTTCTGCAATAAATTTGTCACCATCATCAAACAAAAGAATAAAATGGAAAAAGAATTTCATTCTTTTGTCTGATGATGGTGATAATGTTGTTGCCAAAACGTCACACATTAATAAATTATTTGGATTAGGTCTTATTTTCCTTTTTTATAGTAACCCTTTTTGTAGACACACCAGATAACCAAGTGTGAACAAAATTAACTCTGTCTCGATAAGGCACAATTTGGATTATAGATTATAAACACAAGGTAATAAGACCAAATCCAAATAAATAAATAGTGTGTGACCTTTCGGTAACAGCATTGTTAAACGTCACACACTATTTATTTATTTGGATTTGGTCTTATTACCTTCAGGTAACAACGCTGTTACTGAAACGTCACACACTATTTATTTATTTTTATTTGGTCTTATTACCATGTGTTAACTCTGTCTCCTTAAAAAAATAAACGACTGTTGACTTTGTACTTAAGTTTTGTCCATGAGTGTAAATCAAAGACAAAGTTGGATAAGCTTGTAGCCACAACCAACGGCCATGTCAACTTGTGCGCTGTGCAGGAACGGAGTGAGCAAGGTGCTGTTTATTCCCTACGCCAAGAAAGATTATGTTGCCTACACCAAGAAAATTCAGCCTGCCTTTGAAAAGATGGGTGAGTTATTTGGTCCTATCTCTCAACACAACAACAACAAAAGCCTTTATTGAGGACCTCTCGTCCTATAAAGGATTCACCAGTTTACAGAGTAAGAGAAGAGAACTAAGAATACAGAGATATAAGTAGTAGGTATAGTATAGTATTTTCTACACTGTGACTATATAAAACAGCAGCAACAAGCCTTTTACTGGAATCAAAGTCCCATACAGGATTCGTCATTCTAATCCTGACAAATATTATTTACATATAATTATTTACATCAATTAGATTATGTATATAGCTTTCCCTTCTCTTCAGCCGTCTTCCAAAATTTGAACAACGCAAACGCTCTAGCTCTGTTTCTCACCACCTCATTCAACAGGAGCTCCAAAGAGAGTCCCTCAAGGCCTATCTTATCTCTCAATTCTATAAAGATGTCTGTGGGAATTATCAGGATTGATAGAAATACAGTAGAACAACCTCCGGGGGTTGGTGGAAGACTGGTTAAACGGTTTAGTTTTCGACCACTACGACCCGGGTTCGATTCCCGCATTGGACACTTTTTTCTGATTAAAAAAAAAAAAAAAATGCTCCAATGGCCCCCGATTCTTGCAAAAGTCCAACCCTACCAGCGAGTGCAAGTAACCAAATGGGGCTCTGGCACATTTGTAAGTGCAAAGTCGAGCTGCTTTTCACATGTGTAGACATGTGGGGTACTTACAGTAAAAAGCAGTTGCTAACTACCCACCATGATTATCATGGCCTGTACCACGTGTACTAGGGATAATTAAAAAAGAACAACCTCCATAAGAAGATACTCCAGCTAGAGTACACCACTCTACAAAGGAGAGTTTTAATCATCAAAATTACCATTTTTACTAATTAGCAATTCTCTGTAACACCTCTCCCTAAAGGAAATTTTGGTTCTGCAACTAGGTGTTATCTTTTACAGGGTGGTTCTACTGTATCATGTGTATACTTCAGTCATCTTTCTTTCTTTTATTGACAACCATCATGACTAGGTGAAGTAGAATGCCTTTGTCATTAAGACTGGGAACACTACTCAGTACCAAGCCACTGACTTAGCTCCAATACGTGATGGCCACCTCTGTGACATGAGGAACAGATGCCATGTACAGCCGCTCCTAACATGGAGTACATCATGTATCCCTGGATCAGAGGACCTTACAGCCGGGCCAGCTGAGTCCAAGTTTTTTAGCGAGCTTGTTACTGCTCCTTTTTCTTTCTTTTTCATTCTTGCATAGGACAGGCAAAGTTTGTTTCCCCAATGTTATGGTGTTTATTTCAATGGTCCTAAATTGCTTCATAAAGATCCTTCATATTAAAATTTTATACTTACTCTGAAGAAACAGAATTTCCTGAGATGGGTGCTAAGTTGAGTGTCACATGCATAGCATTGAAAAAATATTTTACTTCATCTTGATAAAGCACAAATTGGATTATAGATTAAAACTACCAAGTAATAAGACCAAATCCAAATACATAATGTATCACGTTTTGGAAACAGCGTTGTTACCATCATCAGACATAAGAATGAATGAATATCAAGTTTTCAAGAAAGGTTTCAGTTTTTTTTTTGTCTGATGATGGTAACATCGCTGTTACTGAAACGTCACACTTTATTTATTTAGATTTGATCTTATTACCTTATAGTTTGATAAAGCACACACACACAAAAACCTTTATTAAGACACACAGGTCTTACAGAGGATTCTCCTTGGGGTTACAAGACAGAGAAACCTATGAAAGTGGGAAATATACAAAGGGGTAAAAATGGAGAAAGATTATATACACATGGTGAATATATACAGATTATTATTTGAATAATCCTATGGAAAATAAGAATATGGATTTGGAAATATGGATGGAAGAAGTGGAGAGCGAAAAGTAGTTTGATAAAGCACAATTTGGATTATAGATACAAGAAAATAAGACCTAATCCTAGGTGTAGTCCTAGAGCACTAGGTCTTGTATCTACCTTATAGTTCCTTCTTATAATTTGTTTATTCTGATTAAATACCTTGGAGTTTTGTTAAGACATAGGTACTTTCTTAGGTTCTTTGTTCATCTCTACAACCGGTAGAGTTTAGGTGTTATTATTGCTTAAATTCTTTCCTTACACAGCGTGCAGAACCCAACTATGATAACATCACATGGGACCAAAACTGCAGAGCCAAAGTGTCCTTTAGGGGAAGGTGTCCTCTTACCAGAGAGTTGCTAAAAGGTAATTTTGCAAATGAAAACTGTCCTTTGTAGAGAGGTGTCCGCTAAAGAGAGGTTCTACTGTATATTGTCGCAGCTTAATCCTCTGGTTCTTTCGCGAAGACTCCGCTTCTTCTGCCGTGGATCACCTACCCGGGCTCTCATTGCTCTCCCTCTGCAGCTGTACCCTGCAGAGCACCCAAGGATGTCTGAGAACCACCGCTCAAGTGAAACTCCCTTACTCTGGCAGTATCTCTCGGCCTTACCACTGGTGGGGGGACACGAGAGATTTACCAGAAGTGTAGCAGCAGCAATGTGGCGATAGCGAGAGGAACAACAGCAGGCGGCTCGGAGACTTCAAACACTACTTTTATTGTCATTTACAACTAAACATGACATATAACCAGAATAACAATTACCGGGTATTTACATTGTGTTACATCCTAGGGCCAATATAAAAGTGTATATACAAACATTTTCCCCAGGAAGCAGGATCACAGCAGTCGACGATTCCAACACCAGTTTCAGATGGAAACAGGCGAAAGCGCCATCTATTGGCGGAGGTTGTAGGCATTTTCAGGCCTTATACGCGACAATATAAATAAATAAGTGTTGGCTATGCACAGGAAACTTAAATACTGTATGTGTGCAGGACTGGAGGTGGAGAGCATCACTGACCAACCAGATGCTGTCGCTGCTGCCAAGTCTGCACAGGCTTACTTCATTGGTGGGTCTGTCGTACAATGTTGTACTGCCTTCTCTGATACTGTGAAGTCTCTCACCCTCTTCTGCTCAATTCTCTTCACCTCTTCCTAGGGGGTCGGTGGAAGGATGGTCTAAACTGTTGGTTTTCGACCGCTACAACCCAGGTTCGATTCTCGCATTGGGCACTTTTTTATGTTTAAAAAAAAAATGCTTCAATGACCCCCGATTCTTGCAAAAGTCCAATCCCACCAGTGAGTGCAAGTAACCAAACGGGGCTCTGGCACATTTGTAAGTGCAAAGTCGAACTGCTTTTTACATGTGTAGACATGTGGTACACTTACAGTAAAAGTAGTCACCTACTTCTAACCACCATGATTAACATGGCCTGTATCACAGGTACTAAGGATAAGCAAAAAAAAACAAAACCTCTTCCTATATCTTATAATTCCATTCTATTAGATCAATGAACCAATCCTTCCTTGGTCTACCTCTCCCTTCAATACCTCCAGTATGGTCAATAGACAATTTACACTGAATCTATGCTTAATAGGCAAATTTCTCTTGTTACCTTATAACACTTCCTCTCTAATATGGCACACAATTTGGATTATAGATTATAAACACAAGGTGTGACATTTTGGTAACATTGTTGTTACGATCTTCATTCAGTACTTTTGTCTGAAGATGGTAACAACACTGTTACCGAAACGTCACACACTATTTATTTATTTGGATTTGGTCTTATTACCTTGTGTTTATAATCTATAATCCAAATTGTGCCTTATCAATGCATTTTTAAAGTTAAAAAAGACCTGGATTGTTTGTTGATTTGGTTAAATTGTCCAATCTATAATCCAAATTGTGCCTTGTCATTAAAATGTTATGTAAAACGACATTTGAAATACTATCCCGCATGTTTCTTTTCAACGAAAAATCAAAATTTATTTCAAGGAGAAATAACGATTATTTCTAACCTTTGGGATGAGGTATTTAAGGGTGAATTGTGAAGAGTAATGATAAACGGAAAAATAAAAGTGTCCAGGGATGGGAATCGAACCCACAGTGTTCCGCTTACTGGGCAGATGCCATGTCCACTAAGCTAGACACCCGGTAAGTGGAACACTGTGGGTTCGATTCCCATCCCTAGACACTTTTATTTTTCCATTTATCATTACTCTTCACAATTCACCCTTTCATACTTCATCCCAAAGGTTGGAAATAATCGTTATTTCTCCTTGAAATAAATTTTGATTCTTCGTTGAAAAGAAACACACATGCAGGATAGTATTTCAAATGCCGTTTTACAATCACAAGCCGCATTATATTGTATTGTATTATAAAATGTTATGTACAAAGAGTATGTTGTTCTAATTGCACACATGTTTCAGGTGGGGGTAATACCTTCTTGCTGCTGAGGACTCTCCAGGACAAGGGTCTGGTTCCTGTCATTTCTGAGCGGGTGTTGAAGGTGAGTAACAACTGTGTAGCCTTGATCTCATCGAGAGGTTGGGAAGTCCCAACTTGATAAGATTATTAAAGCTGCAAAGGTTACTCTATGTAAAGGTTTTTTTTTTTTTTGCGTATCCCTAGTACACATGGTGTGCAGAGGCCATGATAATCATGGTGGGTAGAGGTTGACGACTGCTTTTTACTGTAAGTGCACCACATGTCTATACATGTGAAAAGCAGTTCGACTTTTGCACTTACAAATGTGCCAGAGCTCCGTTTGGTTACTTGTACTTTTGCTGGTGGGGTTGGACTTTTGCAAGAATCGGGGGTCATTGGAGCATTTTTTTTATATCAGAAAAAAGTGCCCAATGCGGGAATCGAACTCAGGTCGTAGCGGTCGAAAACCAATGGTTTAGACCATCCTTCCACCGACCCCAAAAAGAACCATACGCGTCTATAATAGTCTCCAATTTTTGGTTTGGTTACTTGCACTTGCTGGTGGGATTGGACTTTTGCAAGATTGATGTACCTATGTAAAGGTTGATTTTATATGTTTTTTAACCCCACTCTTTCTACCTATTTTCTCAGTGCCTGAAAATAAGATTACTTCATGAAGGCGATGGTTTTTACACTCATGGACAAAACTTAAGGAAGTTGTACCTTTTACCATGTATATCGGGATTCAGACAATAACTCTGAAAGATATTACAGTGACCTTTATTGAAGACACACATATATACACTCATGGACAAAACTTAAGGAAGTTGTACCTTTTACCATGTATATCGGGATTCAGACAATAACTCTAAAAGATATTACAGTGACCTTTATTAAAGACACACATATATACACTAATGGACAAAACTTAAGGAAGTTGTACCTTTTACCATGTGTATTGGGATAATAACTCAGAAAGATATTACAGTGACCTTTATTAAAGACACGAGATAACTAATTGTGAACAAAAAATTGCCTTTGTCTCCCATGAATAAAATAGATGACCAGTGATATCAAAGACCTTCCACTTCTTTAAGTTGTTGTTTTTTAAAGATTACACAAATTCCATGAGTCAATGCTCCTCGAGCTGTTTTATGATAAGCAGCGACCTCTCCTAAAGGTCCTGTTTAGTGCATCTAATGCAAGCCAAAAACTTGCTCAAGTTTTGTCCATGAGTATATATATAAAGTTATTGAGAGAAACCTACTGTATATATAGTTAAACCTGTCTATAGCGCCCCCTCTTTGAACTTACCAAAATGCTATAGAGAGGGGCTGCTATAGACAGGTCACTTTTAATGTAAATCACACTGTACTACGTAAACACAAGATAATAAGACCAAATCCAAATAAATAAATAGTGTGTGATGTTTCGGTGACAGCATTGTTACCATCTTCAGACAAAAGTACTGAATGTACTTTGACTTTTACTACTGAAGTACTGGGATTCAGTACTTTTGTCTGAAGATGGTAACAATGCTGTTACTGAAACGTCACACACTATTTATTTATTTGGTCTTATTACCTTGTGTTTATAATCTACTAGACGAATGGCCCGGGCAACGCCCGGGTTTTACCTGAGTGCGTATATATTTTAAAAATGTTTTAATTAAAATACTATTCATTACAATTATAAATTGGCGCCGTGGATGTCTCTCTTGTGAAACGTCCCGCCCCAAACTGTGTGACTTGAAAATATAAAAATAAAAATGTGAACGGAAAAATATGTCCAGGGTAGCCTAGTTGTCATGGCATCTGCCCGGTAAGCGGAAGGTCGTGGGTTCGATTCCCATCCCTTGAAAACTTTTTTTATTTTATCCATTCTGACCAAAATCTATCCGTGAACTTCACACAGAGAGAATAAGGCAATTATATAAGTAGATAATCCAAATTGTGCCTTATCACACACTATTTTTTTATTTGGCCTTATTACCTTGTGTTTAAAATCTATGACGTAATGCCGGCGGCGCGCGCCCGTTGGCTGCCAGCGAGCACGTGACCTCCCTGTGCGCGCATATGTGACAGAACCGGCCGGCCCATGACGGTCGTGACTATATATATACTGGATGGATAATAATAATAATATAATAATAATAATAATTATTATTATTATTATTATTATTATCATTAGATAATGATAATGATCATAATGATGATGCGCGCGCATCCATGACAGAACCGGCCGGCCGGCCGGCCCATGACGGTCGTGACTATATAAGTTGATGGATGGATAATAATAATAATATAATAATAATTGTGCCTTATCACACACTATTTTTTTATTTGGCCTTATTACCTTGTGTTAATAATCTATGACGTAATGCCGGCGGCGCGCGCCCGTTGGCTGCCAGCGAGCACGTGACCTCCCTGTGCGCGCGCATCCGTGACAGAACCGGCCGGCCCATGACGGTCGTGACTATATATATAATGGATGGATAATAATAATAATATAATAATAATAATAATTACAGTCGAACTTGGATAATTCGAACCCCAAGGGACCATAAAAAAATTCGAATTATCCAAAAATTCGAATTAAAAACGGAAATTATATTTATAGGAAATTCTAGGGACCAAGATAAATATTCGAATTAAAGAGGTTTTCGAATTAAAGAAGTTCGAATTATCCAAGTTCTACTGTATTATTATTATTATCATTAGATAATGATAATGATCATAATGATGATGCGCGCGCATCCGTGACAGAACCGGCCGGCCGGCCAGCCCGCCCATGACGGTCGTGACTATATATAGGGATAATCCAAATTGTGCCTTATCATCGTACTACGTATTTAAAATTGGGCGCTATAGAGAGGGAGGCACTTTTAGAGGGGGTATATAGACAGGTCACTTTTAATGTAAATCGCATCATACTATGTATTTAAAATCAGGCGCTATAGAGAGGGAGGCGCTATAGACAGGTTTAACTATTTTAAAATTACAAAATATTTTCTCACAATGAGTTTATTACAAAACACTAGCTTTCAAGTGATAATCGCTCTTCAACGGGCTTAAAAAAACATTGACTATATCTTACAAGAAATATTTACAAAATCATACGCGCGCAACATTGGGAGAAAATATTTTGTAATTTTAAAACTTTTTCACATTTTATCATGAATATCATCGTTCTATCATGAATATCATCATTTTATCATGAATATCATCGTTCTATCATGAATATCATCATTTTATCATGAATATCATCATTCTATCATGAATATCATCATTTTATCATGAATATCATCATTTTTATCATGAATATCATCATTTTATCATGAATATCATCATTTTTATCATGAATATCATCATTTTATCATGAATATCATCATTTTAATCATGAATATCATCATTTTTATCATGACTATCATCATTTTTATCATGAATATCATCATTTTTATCATGAATATCATCATTTTTATCATGAATATCATCGTTTTATCATGAATATCATCATTCTGTCATGAATATCATCATTTTATCATGAATATCATCATTTTATCATGAATATCATCGTTTTACCATAAATATCATCATTTTATCATGAATATCATCATTTTATCATGAATATCATCATTTTATCATGAATATCATCATTTTATCATGAATAGAGGTTTAACTGTACTAAGAGAGAGAGAGAGACAGTTGTGAGAGTGGCGCAGGAGGGAGTGCCGTACATGGGAGCTAGCGCAGGCACCAACGTGGCCACAGTCAACATCTGCACCACCAATGACATGCCCATAATCCAACCACAGTCCTTCTCTGCCCTCGGACTGGTGCCCTTCAACATCAACCCCCACTATGTGGACCCAGACCCCTCCTCCACCCACATGGGGGTAAGTAGAGAGTTTGACGACAACCCCTGATGTTGACATATCTGTGGTGTTAGGAGACCAGGGAGGAGAGGATCAGAGAATACCACGAGGTGTCTGACAACCCCCCGGTTCTGGTGAGTCAATACATTGCCTCTCTCTGTCAGATGTCCAATTGGAATAACACCACTGATGAACCAAGATCTCTCCCAATATATTTTCCTTTACAACAAGGAAAGTTTGAAAATAGAGCAATCCATAATTAAATCTTTAATTAAAAAGATATATATTGGATCAAAATATAATTTATTTTACCAATATTTCAGTTGGCTGAACACCAACCTTTATCAAGGTGTTATAACATTTTAAAGTGTGTCAACAACAAGTGTGGCGCTGAGTTTGTTGTTGACACACTTTAAAATGTTATAACACCTTGATAAAGGTTGGAGTTCAGCCAGCTGTGAAATATTGGTAAAATAAATTATATTTTGATCCAATATATGCCTTTTTAATTAAAAGAAATAAGGAAAGTATATAAAGAAACTTATTGCGTAAGGTTTTTAGATATTTTTTATAAAAGTATATTTTCTTAATTCTGAATAAGGACGGCAGAAAGTTTTGAACACCGATAACGCACAATTTGGATTATAGATTATAAACATAAAGTAATAAGACCAAATCCAAATAAATAGTGTGTGACATTTCAAAAACAGCGTTGTTACCGAAACGTCACACACTATTTATTTATTTGGTCTTATTACCTTGAGTTTTGAACACCAATTGCTGGTTGGAAGTTTGTTTGAAAAAGATAACAGCTACATACTTTCTTTATTTTCAATGTTTCAGTGACTG